ATCCCAAAGAGAGAGGGGTGGGGAAGCAAAAAGCCCAACAGGCTTGGAAAGCCAGAGCAGCAAGTGCAGCAGCCTGAGCAGATCTCCCAGCCAGGAGCTGAAGGCAGGAAGGAAGGCAGGCAGGCAAGGGTGGGATCCACCTCCAGAGTGACGTCAGATTCTGGGCAGCAGCAGCAGGGATCCAGAGGGAAAGGCTCGGGCAGGGCGAGGGAGGAGGAAAGAAAGGTGCCACAAGGGAGGAGGAGAGAAAAGAGAGCTCGGTTGTTGAGCGGAGAGATGAGGGTCCTGGAGGGAAGACATGGGGCTGAAAGAAGCCCTTCTTTCAGCCCCATGCCTTCCTACCAGGACCCTCACCCGAGTATAAGCTGAGGGGACCTTTTTCAGCCTTAAAAAGGGGCTGAAAAACTCGGCTTATAGTTGAGTATATATGGTACATACATAAAATAAATAAATAAATGAAAACTCCTACCTGGCTCCCAGTGTTGAGCTGCATACACTCCAAAATATGTACTTCAAGGTGTGACCATTCCAAAAATTAGAATATTATCAGCAACAAGTGGAAAATATGAAATAATGCATCCACTGAATAATTCCTTTGAACCACAGTCGTTTTTAGCAGCAAGGCTTGGTGACTCAGTCATTATTTTCCCGGGCAAAAGAAGGAATAGGATTGGACAGCTTGAAGGACCAAGCTGACTATGCAGCAATCAGATTTCTTGTTTTGTGAAAAAAGACCTTGGGTTGAGTGGCAATATTTATGTGGATTCCAAGGGCCATCTAGTGGCACAAATAAGATTGGAACTGGGAACCTCTTTAGGAGTGCAGACCCATGAACAGTCACCATGTGGTGCAATTAAGACGGATCTTCATAAAGCTAGGGTAGAGTGGCATCAATAAAAAGAGAACTATGTTCTAGCTGTTGGAGCAATTTCTCTTTTTTAGAAACACACAGGCTCTTTTCAACCAGAGGCAGTGTGAGGGGGCAGGAAGCAAGTGAGGTCTTCACTTAGGTCCACTTGTGGCCCATATAAACTATTTTTCTGTGATGCCATTAATCAAGCAGGCTCCCGTGGCTCTTGTGGGACAAGACTGTTTAAGCTTGCCATACACCACCTCTGTAGAACTCCTTCATTTGGTGGGGGTCTGGGTTTTAAAGTGAGTCTTGGACTGGGGTGGTCATGGCAGTGATGTCACTATTGCAAATTTGAATGGTAAAATGTTTGAGGATGTAAGTGTAGCTTCGAAATTGCAAATATTGAATGGGATCCCCATGGAAACTTTTGGGATGCATTGTTTAAGCAAGAATAGTTGGCTATGGGGAGGCTGCTTAAGGCCCATGGGCTGTATAATTCTATCTAGAATGAGAACAAGGTTTCATGTGCAGGAGGTGCCTTTTAACACAAAGAAATCACAGATGACATTATGAAAATGTTGCAAAGGGCAGTCAGAGTTGTAAGGGGCCTTATGGGCCATCTAGCTGAACTCCCTGTTCAATGGAGAATCTCCAGATAAAGTAGCCCCAGGTGGCAGCTGCCCAGTCTCCCTTTGAAGCTGTCTTGCACCATGGTGATACAGTAGGGTCCTCCGGATGTTGCTGAATTGAAAATTCCAACATCAGTCATAACTGGCTGTACTGATTAGGGTTGGTGAAAGCAATATTCTGATCATAACAAAAGTTGGCCACTTATGTGTTAGGTTCTGTTGGTTAGGTTTTGGCTTTTACTGTTTTTAGCTAGTGTTTATTGTTGCTTTTTAAAGTTATTTTAGTATGAAATTCTTTCCATTAAGAAATAAAAACAGGGTAAAATTCTCCACAATACAATGGTGTGTTACATACAGGAAAATGTACAATCCCTTATTGTTTGCTATGGTGGCTAGGGTTTGCATAGTTTTTGCATAGTGGTTTTGGCCAAAAAAGAGAGGATTGGTGAAATAGCTCATCACACTCCTCAGTGCCATCTTCATCATTCCTAGTGGACCTGGAACCCTGGATACTTGAAAGTATTTGGAAGCTTAACAGAGAATTTAAGAAAGTTTTATTCCACATGATCAAGGTTAAAGCAGGTTTCTGAGTATTCTATCTTGGAGAACCCTTCTTCAGGCATAACTAAGAAATCTGCAAAGTTACAGAACCAGATTACATTCCTAAAACCAAAGAGTAGGTAGGAAAACATAATAACAATACCTGTTTCCCCTAACCGAAACAGTCCCTTGTCAATTATAGAAAAGGAGATCTTCTGTTCCCCAATTTTGTCAATGCCCAAGGAAGTAGGAGTCTGATCCTTTTGAGATTAGTTTCTACCAGTCTTCCTCATGCCAATCACAGGACAACAAAATAAAACTATTTTCTCATCATAAATGAAAACTTTTGTAGGTTTCATGTTCATGTATTCAGTTTTGGGGTAGCACGTCCAGTTTATGAAATACGAATATCCCTCGGATTTGATAGATTTTATGTATATTTCAGAGATGTGCACGGAACAGAGTCATACCAAGGTTCTTATTTCACGGATGTCATGAACATATATCACCAATTTAATATACTTATATGCAATTAGACCACTACTACAAAAATTTACCATCAAAATAATTGTGAATATGATTTTCATTTGTGCAATTTATCTGGTTCGTCACAACACAACATCCAACAATTATCTGGTATCATACCTTCATTCCCGAAACCTTGGTAGCATTTTTCAAGTTGGATGCCTTGGTGGAATCGTTCACCTTGCTCATCACTCACTGCTCCAAGATTTTTAGGAAAAAAATGGAGGTCCAAATGTAAAAAATGCAATTTCAAGGACATCTTATTTTCTGAAAGTCATTACACATCTTTTGAATACCAACTTTGTAGGTGGAAGATTTGTGATTGCCCAGAAAGGTTTGACAAACCCGTGTGAAAGCCTGCCAGGCTCTTTTTACATCACCATTGAGCAACTCTTTGAAGTTTGTGTCCTGCAAAGCCTACCAAATTTGGGGCCCAAGGAAGATTCTCTCCTTCAGTTTCGCTGCACTGATCTTTGATATTTGTTTGCCAAGTACTGAAATCCTGCATAATTAGCTTTCCCCATTGCTTTCTCAAATTTTATGTTTACCTCCAGCCAAAAAGCCAGCTGCATTAACACTGCAAAAGTAGAAATCGCTGTGATGATCCTTGGGTTCATTCCATATGAAGGGCATTGAAAATGGAAGAGAGATCTTCCATCTATGAAAGAAATCACGTAAACCAGTAGAATGTGCAAATGATATGTGGAGCCCATGTGTTGTCCTGATTACCTAGTGACCATCCAAAATACATTTTGTAGATTTTTATTAGATCTTCTGTAATTTTATGTTGCTGCCCCAAAGTCTTCCTGAGCATTGGGACCATGGGATGGGTGTCAAAACAACTGTGGCTGGAACTAATCTAACTGTTTCGATAGCCCCTAATCCTGCTTTAAGATTCCCCACCCCCAAAATTAATTTAACCTGGGGGGAAAGCCATGTTAAACAGTTTTCCCTTGAATTAATTCGGATGAGGCCCCATATGTCAGGAGTCAATTTCTGACGTCGTGGAGACATCATAAATTTCCTGCATGACATCCTGGCTGGATCATCCTGGCTGTCGCAGTTTTCTTTCTCTGACATTTTGACATTGTGAAGCCAGCAGAGGGCGCTGGAGACTTTGTGTTGGAACTTGGGAGGGGGTATAAAAGGAAGTGGTGGTGGGGAAAAGGCAGTAGTGTCTTCCTTTGCTGTGGAAAAACAAGCAAATTATATTCATTTCCATACTGACTTGTGAGTGATTATTTGCTACAAAAACCTACAGTCTTACACCATATGCTGTGTAGCCATTGCGGGGTTGAGCAGCTGTCACACAAAGACAAGTGATCAGTGTAGATGTGTCCAAACACATTAACATGCCTCTTTTAAATACATTTGCAACCCTTGGCTTAATGCAGGTGCACATATTCTTTCCAATCTCTTTGGAATACACACAGATTTGAGATACAATTTCACCACATTTCCTCCTGCTTGGGAAAAGGTGAACAGAAGGAAACAACAGGAAGTGGCTGGAAACTGTTCCCTAGCAGCAATCTCTTAGCTCTAGCAGCTTGAGTTCTTTCTTAATATAAACCGTTCTTTCTGCTAATGCCTTCTTTCACAGTGTTCTGTTCCTAGGGGCAGGATTATAGGTGTCTCATATTCACCCCATTCAAGTGGCTGACTTGCAACAGGGAAACTTAGTAATCACTTCCACAATGATGTTGAGAACATCTGCCCTCTTATGAAGTACATACTTAGTTGTATTATGGCTTCCCTCCCAGAAGTATCATTTCCACACTAAGGTATATCCATCTTAAACATTAAACACATATACAATGAAGTACATCCCATAAAACACAGGAGGAGCTACTTTCTGAGCATAGCTTGGCAAAGTTAGTTTTTTGCCCTACAACAGCCAGAATGACCCCAGAATCCAGGCTTGTAGCAGTTCAAAAATCTAGCTTTAGCAAGCATGCTTCTGTGTTGATTTGGTTACTGGACATGGAGCTCTGTTTGAATTCCTGACTATCGCATGCTCCTTTCCAGATTATCAGAAAAGAGCACCTATATGGCCAACAAAGAAGGATGAGGATTACTTCCCTTCTTTCTTGCTGGTCTGATATCAGTAGAAGCACTCACAATGGTCAGGAGCTTGGATTTAGTTCCATGGCAGGTTAGAAGTGCCCCAGTGGAGTGGATGCACTTCTAGGTCATCATGACAGCAGTCCTGGATTAAGCATGAATATGCAGAATCAGGGCTTTTCTGGGATGTATCAACACTGGGCTAAATTGCCCAGATTAGATGAGCTCTAGCACTCTTAGCTTTCATACCACAAATATTTGTGTGTCTCAAATGACCAGTCAATATTCAAGTAATCATGGCACTCCATTATCTGCAAGAATTTTCTGTAACATCCCCCCCCCCCCCAAAGCGGAATTGGTCCTGAGCATCCATAAGAGAGAAATACATATAATTTTATGTACATATATTTTTATTAATAAAACCAAAATCTTTGAAAATGTTCAACAAAATATTTTACAAATTGCTGTTTGATCTTAATATCCACACAAGTGAAATTATGCATTGCTGCCCCGATAGAATGGCTTGATTTCTCATGAAATTTTATTAATTTTTATGCTGTTCTTAAAAGCTATGGCAGATGTTGCATGGGGAAGGAGAAAGCTATCACATCACTGCACTCTTATGAATTACATATCTTATGTAAACACATTGGGAATGTTTTTCTGTAGCATGACAACATTTCTGGGATGCCACTAATCTGTCATTCCAGCTGAAACCATTACAATCAATGTTATTTATGATCACTCATGGCATTTCAATGAGTAAGAGGAAAAACTAACATCAAAAGCAGCAGACACATTAATTTATTTTTTGCATCATCATTATTGTCCTTTCCATTTTTAACAAACTGCATATAAATAACATTTGGTAAAACTGTTCTCATGACACAACTTTAAGGACCTAAAATTAATCCTTGACAAACATATTGGACATTGCTGAAACAATTACATTTGTGAACAGTTTGTACAATGGAAAACACATTTAAAAACTTAGAACCTTAACCAACAAACAACCTTCTATAGAATGCTTGTAAAATTCAGGATGATGCAAAATCAATTGATCACAGTATTTCTCTTATTATCATCATGTTTTTGCCATAAATATTGCAATTATGGATGATGATCAAGCTGAGTTCCTTAATGGTCGTAGAATACTAAAACTGGGCATGATCCAGACAAAGTTAAGCAACATCTTCAAAGACATGCACGAGTGAGGCCGAGATTGTGTTTAAAACTCAAGTGGAGTGTAAATTGGCAGCAATGATGGAATTCTGATGAATATTCAGAGCAAATTCAGTTCTTGTTCAGATGTTTGTTTTTTAGGGGGACACACAATTATGCCACATGAACTAGCCATACATTTTACTTTGGGATGAAGGAGAATTACTTGCATAAGAGAGTACTGGATACCTCTATACAGAAATATGCAAAAAGTGAAACTATCCATGTAACCCTATACCACCGTAAATGTCTAAGAAGACCCTGGCTTATTTGATGGCTATTTCAAAGTCATTTTTGGGTCTCTCATATTTAAATCAATCAACTCTGATGAAGTGCTTAACTTTGTTTGGATCATGGTAATTATCACAAGTGATCGCATTTCCCAGTACTAAATGGCACTACTATGAATAATACATGGCTCTGTCACCTTTACATATTAGTCAGGCTGCATGCTGTATTCATCTATCCGGTTCATGGGTAAGACCTTTATTAACAATAAAGGGAGTTAGGTGAAGAAATAAAAATACTTGGATTATTAAGGACCCTGGCATCATCACAGTTAGAGTTTATAATTAGAGATGAAAAAAAGGGGCGGGGGCAATGGCTTTAGTCTTTTTGCAGTATACATTTTAAAAAAGAGAAACAATTATGTAAATTATATGTAGTGACCATCATGGTCATTAGTAATTTCCATTGCAGATGGGAAAGACTGTCTGTTTGAATCATTAGTCTACAGAGGTATGCTGAAATCGCTTGAGTTCTATTACTGATCTCAGTAGTAACAGGAGCAGAACCATTGTGCTATTGGTGGCAAGTCCACATGTAAACCTTGGCCCTGGCAGGACTTTTGGACCTGCAAAATTTGGAGTTCCTGGGGGTAGAACATATTGATTGGCAACTTTCTGAGGATGAGGGGAAACGGTGGGATTTTAGTTTTTAGCATAGTAGAGATATGAAAAAATGATGTGGTTTGGCACACAATAGATAACCAGCAGGAAGGCTAGTCATGAAAAAAGAAAAATACATTATTTTAGCCTGGCCACTAGTGCTTGCAATAACCTTTCTCATGTTTGCTCTCCACATATTAATCTGAATTGATAGTATCAGATGCAAACCATGAAAACTGACCCATATATCTTACCCAGAATCCTGTTAGTGACATGCATGTTTTACAAGAGTATACATTTTGATCTGAACAGGTGGATAGGGCTATTGTCTATTTCCTTGAACTCTGTTTAAAACCAGCCCCCCCCCCCCCGCCATATAAAATTCAAATTATCTGCTTTGAACTAGATTATCTGGCAGTGTAGACTCAGATAATCCAGTTCAAAGCAGATAATGTGGACTTTCAGATTTGATAATCTGGAGTATTTGGCAGTGTAGAAGGGGCCTGAGAATCACCCCTATGATGGAAGGGAAGAGCGGAAACCAGGCAGCATGGATGCCTCTCATCCACTCTACACTTTGCTAGCGAAAGTAAGATATGTGAGATACAAGGTCATTGTTCTGCTGCTCTCATTCTAATGCTTCCTCTACACTGCCACGTAATCTAGTTCAAGGCAGATAATCTGGATTTTATATGGTAGGGTAGAAGGGGCCTAGTAAACTACAAAGAGATGATAGGCAGTCCTTTTACTCATCATTTCTCCCATTTATGGCAGCACCAGCAGCCTCCTCAAGCTTGACAGTTGTTAGGGAAGAAAGCTACATATGTGGAGTATTTATGCTTCCTGTGTAGGATCTCAGTCCTTATGTTCCAGAAGCAGTTCTGGAAATACATCGGAGTTCCCAGAGAAAATATATGATGAGTGATTAGAGATTAAAGGTGTTGCAACCCAACAACATTTTCTGGGCCACAGTTTCAAATCTCTGCACTATTTTTTAAAAAAATAATTGTTTACTACATATTTGGAAAGAATGCCTCTAATTTGCCTAGGTTTGCTGATATATTTTTTTTTGCTAGGGGAGCAAAACTTTTAAACATTAAGGGGCTTAATATGCCTTAATCTTCCACATGCATCAGCCTACTTCATCGATGATTATAACCTGGAAGGGTGTATATGTGGAGAGTCAGTGGGGACAGAGTTTCAAGACTCTAAAAGGACCTTACAGTATCCTGGGAGAACACATTGCTATCCTACGAGTCACACGACAAATCCAGTTACACTCACCATCAGCAATACAGATGTCTACACACATTCAGGCTTTACAATTAATGTGCTTTATAAAATATAGAGCTATGAATGTCATATTTAAAATATATTTTCCTTGCCAACAACAACATGTTATCTGTTTGTAAAAAATATATGCAGAACCGTCCTGGAAATCTGATAGTCGGAGAGGGCACAGTGTAAGCCAAGCCACTTCTTGCTTGCTGACCCTCCCTTGTTTTTTGTTCTGTCCATAGCCACCTGTTTAGGCAATAAGCTTTTTAAACCATTGTGCAAACCAAAACACGTGGCACTTTCCAGTGGGCTTTGAAGGTCTTGGCACTAATCCTTTGTCTAAAATGGGAATTCAAATTACGAATCAGATCTTGCATCGCTTTGCATTTGAATGTTCTATTGATCCATCCAGTGCTAACAGCTATGGCTGTAAATGATAACATTCAGCTCTTTCTTGACCTAGCTAAAATCCCTGTGTTCTAGTGTTCAACCTCATAGTGCTAGATGTACTGGAAGGAATTCATGAAACTCACAGAAGGCACAAGCAGTAACTATAACTTCTCTCCAAACTAAGTGGTTATGGCCTCAATCCAGTTGGTTCAAGCTCCCACTGAAAGTGATGGAATTTACATTAAGCGGTCTAGTCTCAACCAAGTTTACTTGTAATTAAGGCCACTTATTTCATCAGAATTTTCTTCCAAACAGGTTGTAAAAATTGCACTAAACACAGTTTCTTGGAATAAGCTACATTTGAAAAGAACAGAAATATTGTGTCATACATCATGGCTAATTAGTTGGATTGGGGGAATATAGTATAAATAGTATATAACTGTTTACAGTTAAAAATGCAGTGGCAAAGGATATAGCATCTGCTTTGAAAAAATCAGCATCATAATTAATTTTTTTGTTTTCTTTAAATAATTGTCTTGCTTTGAAATAGTGTGCATCAGAATTCATCTTAAAACATTCATTATTTTTCTTCAAGTAATTTTTGGAACAGGCCAAGTTTGGTGCTCTAATTGCAAGTATGTTAATTTTTTTTTAAAAAAACATTCTCATTACTTTTGGGACAGACCACATGTAGAAATTGTATTCTGAAAATTCTGCTCCTGATGAAGGTAAATATGTCCATTTAAAAATCTCTTCTGATCTTAAATATGAAATATATTTTTAAACCTATTAAAAGGTATCTTTCAAATATTTTAAACCAGGCATGGGCAAATTTCTGCCCTCCAGGTGTTTTTGATTTCAACTCCCAGAAATCCCATCCAGCTTGCTGGCTATTAGGAATTGTGAGAGTTGAAGTTGAAAACACCTGGAGGGCTGAAGTCTGCCTATGCCTGCTCTAAACCATTTCTTGTTCAGAGATCATAACTGCTTTTTTCCTGATTCCACAATATCATCACTATATTACAAACTGGAGCTCCGACCAGCAAAATCAATGTGTGCTTAATATTTGATCAGGGCTCCAGTTTCATGGCTTTGATTTATTTTGTATACTGAAAAAAAACTTACTTCTAAAGTACTTTAAATATCCAACCTTTTGATAACTTAGTTCTACTACATGGAGCATATCATGCATGCTTTTCTACTTGGGAATTCTGGGTATTGTTTGCTCATGATCCAAGTTCATAACAGCAAGGCTTTCAAAGCATTAGGCGGGCTGCTGTCAGTTAATGTGAAACTGTTATGATGCAAACCAATATCTGATCCTTTTTATTTACACTATCCTTCATGGCTGGGAGGGTGGTCCTACATAAGGAGCATACGTGTCTTCTAATATTGCAGCCATTTAAAAATACCATAAATGGCTAGGTCTTGAATATAGACCTTTCAGGTCACAGAAAACAATAAAATAAAGAATCAAACCTGCTAAGTATACTACATCACAAAGTTTGCCTGCTTAAATACATCTTGTTGAAGAGCTGTAGTTCAACATTGAGAACCCATTTCTTACATGGAGGAGGCTCCTCGTTTAATCCCTGGAATTTCCATATGGAATAAAAAAGAAGATTGCCTGGAATTCTGGAATGCCATTCTCATCCAGTGTCACCAATATTGGGTAACATGGCTAAATGGATGGCTCGTTTCTATGCTCCTGTGTTTTGTATGAATTGGATCCAAGCATGTCTCTACCCAGGACTACAAATAGATTTTCATAGGCCTTAGGCACTCTTTTTTTTTTTACTTCACTCCTCGCCCTGACATACCATTAGGGACAGATAGCATTCCAAAAACCATTCTGTTGACCTCTATGGACATCAAAACATGCATGTCCATTAAAAACTGGAAATAGAAACTATCCTTATTTTGAATTTTTGTTTTTACTTTCCAATTCTTGGGGTTTTTTTGTTAATTTTATTTTCATAGGTCCCAAGTACAAAGCCTAAAATGCCTAGTGAGCAAGGTGGCACTGTTGCTACTGCCTTTGCCACTTGCAGGATTCCAATTGTAAGGTAGTGGAGCAGGGTGGGATTTTGTACCATGGCAAATGTTGGATTTTTGGGTGGGTAATGTTCAGACATGATTGGATTTATGATCTAATGACATTTTGGGAACCATAGGTTGCCTATCCCTATTGTAAAATAGGAGCCACTCATATATAAGAGAAATGATTGGATAATTGTAGGAGCGATATCCCTGTTGCTATCCACATTTGAAGTATTAAAAAAAAACCTGGATGGAAGGCTTACAGGAAAAATCTAATCATGTCTGAACATTGTATTCAGCCTGCAAAAGGGATTTAGATAAATACTATTTTACCAATCAAAAGGCAAAATGTGGCAATCTATATATGTCTTGTTAATTTATTTATGTGTCGCCTTACCTCATAGTTGCTACTGAAGATTATCCTTTCTGAAACAATCTATTGCAGTTTAAGTGCTGGTGAAATGCAGTATCACTGAACAGGCAGCCTTTTCTTAAGCAAAATGGTCTGAATCTTGTGAAACAAATGAATCACAACTCTGTTTCACGATAAGCAGGTCATCCAGACAGGACCTAAAGCTATCCCACTCTCCATTTAGTATGCTAAATTTGTGTCACCTTGCAGAACCAACATGATCTCTTCTCACATGTCACTCTCAAAACAACATATCAGCACAATGTTTTTCCTCCTGTGAGAATACAAAAAGGGTTTCTGCTCACAATAGATGGTTAAGCAAGCTACTGATGATGTGCTACCATATGCAATCCAGCTTGCTAGAGCAAAAGCAGCAGCTGTTTTGTGATTAGCAAACAGAACATTGGATATTTTTTAATCATGTAATCTTCAATAATTCATTACCCTTTTAAATAGCAGGTCTCTCTGGTCAGGTTTTTAATAACATGCTTCTAAATGAAATAAATTATAGCCAGTGTGTTCTGACGGAGGCAAGATCAAGTTTGTTGCATTCAGAGACACAGCCCAGTTTGTGATGGCATACAAAATCCTTGCACGCTGAGTTATATCCAAGTAGTAAAAAGCTTTCATCAAAAAGGGTGGTGGGGAGAAAAATCTTGACTCATTTTCTTCAGGGTCCCATTACATATAAAGTCTCTGATTTCCAGTGCTGTTCTTCAGCTGCTGTTACATAACATTTTCAAAAAGCTGTAAGGATCTCATGATATTGTCATCCTGGAAGCAACAAGAAAATACACTGTACATATTGACAATACATACACAAACCATTTTGCCATTTTGTAGTGTTTAAGATGCTGCAGTTATATTAAGAGTCCATATATATCGCTGAAAGGAAGCTATTGGCCTGGTTTCTACACTCTGACCTGCATGTAGACCAGTGGTTCCCAACATGAAGTCCACAAGAATGAAGATATGGTCCATGGCCTCATTGTTACTACACTGTTGCAACAAGAGGAACTGGTTTTGCAAAATCCTCTAATAGTGTTAAGGCTTATTAAATATGGTTTTCTGTGGGTAAGCAGATGGGGACTACTGGATGGCATATGTTCTGTATCAGACACTAGAGCTGATGTGGTCCATCCAATGCAATTTTCTGAATCAGCACCCCAAATAACCAAACTGAATCTAAAGTTGACCAAAACTGATTTGTAACCCTTTTGAAACTAATGTTGGAGAGTGGTCCCTGGTCAAAGTGCTCCCTGGTCAAAAAAAGCTTGAAAACCACTGAGATAGACCATATATGTTTGGAGTAAAGATAGTGCAGTCTTTAGGCTACATGCAACCCTTAATGCTGTTTTGAAGTCATCAGATTTTTTCCCATCAGCCAACATTGTGGGTTTAAGTGGCTCTGGACTGCTATAGGGCCAGTGAAGTCATTTAAAAAAACAGGAAGTGGGTGCAATAAAAGTTGTGCCACAAAGAGCCAAAGACACAATACCCTTTACCACATGACCAAATAAAAATAAGTAAGAGTTAGCAGTGAGCGCAAAAGATGGTCAGGGTTTTAACCCACGTCTTGTGGCAAGGAGAAATGCCTGGCTTCACTGTAATCCTCTGCTAATATTTTTTAGGCTGTCAATCCATGATTTAATCTGAGAACTCTAAATGTCTATGCTTACAGCTAGCTTACAGAGAAGTTAATTTCCTTTACTATATTTGTTGAATGCGATTATTGGCACGAACACATTCAGAATTATAGGGCAGGAGGTTAATGCCATTTTAAATTACTTTCCAATTTGAAATCATATGGCAGAGCAAATACCAATAAATTCATTAATAGAGAAGCCATCAGTATGAGAAAAGACACTTCATATTAGGAAGAAAATAAGAAAACGTTAATTGATTTGTTCTGTATTATTGAACTCTTCTAGCCTTAGGTCCTCGCTAAGTTCAATTGCTGACATTTGTGTCTGCCCTGCAGTCCATGTTGTTTATGCCATGAGGTCTCAAATTAAAAGGATACATGGTTGGTACTCTGTAACAGTAGATATTTGCCCAACTTCCAGTAACAGCATGTACAAAATGGCTGAATTTACACTGAAAAAATGCAATGTTAAAAGAACCTTAATGTGTAATCCTCTTTCTGCTTACTGAAAAACAAGTCTGGTTGCATTCTGTGGGGCCTTCTCCCTTGTATATGCCTCATGGATTGTAGCTAAAACTGGGAAGTCCTGCCCTTGAGCACTCTAACGGGCGACACTACACTTGTAGGACCATCATCCTCGGACCACAAGGGATCATCTAAGTAAGCAAGTAAGTGTAGCTAAAGAGTAGTAATTCTGTTTCTTATGAATCCATTCTTTTTACCTTTATCATTATGCTCTTTGTTGTGTGCATATACATAGCCCCAAACCTCTCCAGATTTCAAGCCTATCTTCAGCACAGTGATTGGGAAATTACTTTTAATGTATTTTATTCCAGAAATTATCATTACTATATCTTGATAAACTTTAATTTTGCAAAAATAACTACATTCAAGTTACTTGTAAGATACTAATTCAAATAACCTTAGAAATCCATAAAAAAACATCCTGTTCCACTTAACATTCTTAAGTAATCCATCACACATATCCTGCAGCTATAAAAATACCTAAAATATCCTTTGTCATATTACAATTGTCAATGCCTTAGTTAATGAAAATTATTGCAATTTTAAGACACAATTATTTACTCAGTGTTGTGCTATACCATAGCTACTTTTACATATCACCTTCCTTATTATTTCACATATTGTTGTTTGTCTCTTGGTCGTTTCCAGTTTATGCTAACCCCAAGACAACTCTATCATGGGGCTTTCTTAGCTAATTGGTTCAGAGGTGATTTGCTGCTGCCTTCTCCTGAACTTGAGAATGTGTGACTAGTACATGGTTATCCAATCGGTGTTTTGGCTGATTATGGATTTAAACTTTGGTTTAAGTCCACAGTTGAACACTACACTACACTACACTACACTACTCTACACTACACTACACTACACTACACTACACTACACTACACTACACTACACTACACTACACTAGCTTCCCCTCATGTAAAATATAGCATTGATCTTGATATTCATCACAAAGGTGAGCCACAGTGGCAAAGAGAAAATTTTGTTCCAGACCTCTCCGGATGTGAATGAGGTGAAAACTGGGGTTTTTGGCACGAGACATTCTTTTTCAACTAGCTTTATTGTAGAACATCTGTTCTTACCTCCTGACATGACTCAATAAATTCATCCAAAGTTACGACACCATCTTTATTTTTATCCATTTTCTATAAAATAAAAAGACATGCATTGTGAGAACATAAAACTCATGCATTTGTAAAATCCTACAGATTGTTAAGCAAGAGGCATTCAAATATTACTGTACAGTTTTGCAGATTTATATAGACTCATCTGCCCACATATAAAATGTTATAAATGTATAGGAGTTATGAGGTTAAACAACAGGTGGATGGGAAAAATACATTAAAAATACCTGGAAAAATACTTCTACATGCTGCCTTGGAGCATCATCTTTCAGCACTGGATAGGTATATTTGCCCATCATGTCATAAATTGCCTTTACTATATCCATCATTTCCTAGAATTGCAATTATAAAGGCACAAAGGAAAGGAAAAAGTAAGTCTATTAGCATAAGACAGGCTATGGCAGTGACACATTGCAATATCATCCTTCCTTCCATGATTAATTTCTCAACAAAAATAACATACTGTTTACTATGGCAAGATCCCTGTTTTGGGTTTTCCAATGCAAATGAGCAGGTTTGCTGAATTTAAGATTGGAATATGTATGAATGTCACACATAATGAAATCTGAGGTAAACAGATACAGTTCGCCATTCACTTCTTGATCATTTCTTATGAAAAATTCTATTTAATAGCTGTGAATTATGCAAATCTTTCTACCCCAGAACAAATTTTTACTGCAGCTGCCATCTGCCTCTGTGAGAACAAACAGCAAGGAAGAGTTGGTGCCCAGGCATTACACGCCATTTACATGCTTACAGAGTAGAGTGGTAGGACAAGGGTGCTTGATTATTTGCGGGGGAGAAAAAGAACAACAATCTCTGACCTAAGTTTAATTGCTGGTCCCAACAAGAATACACCCATTGACTCAATTACTGAATTAAGCCAACATGCATCTAAACCTGTTGATTCAATGTGCTTGTTCTGGCGAGTTTTAGTAGCTGCAGCAAAGTCAGGAGAAGTTTCAACTGTTTAATTTTTGCCTAAGCTGCTAGTTAAGGTCTGCCCGCCATATCATAAATTCTCAAAAGTGTAAGAAAAAGTTGACAGATTCAATTCTAAAAGCAAATACATTTCTGTTTGGGGATTTATCTGTGAAATGTAATTATGCCAATGACTTCCCTCCCATTAACTGCTGCCCAATGCTGTAGATCACACAATGAACAACATCAAGTAAGGTGTGTATAATATATTTGATGCCTCTCTTTGACCTTCTACTGGTGTTGTGATTGTGTGCGCCAAGTGCTTGCTCGCTTGCTTTACTAAAACCCAACAAAGAATCTTGTGGTACATAATTTTAAAGACTAACACATTTATTATGATCGAAGTCATAAAGCACTCTAAAATTTTCATCATTAGATCTTTCATTAAATGCTAGTCCATGAAAGCTTATGCCTTAATAAGGTGTAACATGCCCTGAGACTGTTTTCTTTCTTCATTAAGTTTTAATTGAAAAGGTCTTATGTGAAAAAAATTGGAAATATTCAGTAAAAGATAATTAAAGAAAATAAAAAGGAAAATATATTGATAAAACTTTCTTTGGCCATTGGCCAAAGGTTTGTTTACCAATTTGAGTCTGGTTGGGCCAGTACAATTAATTGTAATAGTTTCAAATTCTTTACACTATTTTGTATGCAGAGCTACTTAACAATTTAAATATTTAAAATGGCATGAAATACCAAAATTATACTACATATTGTATACAAAAACACATAGCAGCATGTCCGCAAAAAGTTCAGTTGAAGATGTTTATGTAAAAAAACCCACATAGCTGTTCAGACAGCTGACACAGACGGCTGTTGTTTCAAGTTGCAATGCTGTATCCACTTTATCTGGTTATAAACATTGGATACGATGGGTTTTATATCAGGCATCATTAAATAATAGGATTATGCTCTACTTGATTGCCGTAATCAGATTCAGTAGAGGTATCGGACTTTCTAATGTACATAGCAGGCCATAGGAACCTTAGATTGCACAGGGTTTGTTTTTTGTTTTTTTTGGCAGGCATTGTCTCGCACAGCCTGTGGCTCAAAAGAGCTAATTAGTTCATGTAATTTATTGAACATATTGAAGGAGGTTGTTGCTATGAAAATCAGCAAAGCCGATAAAGATTAAAATGGCCAAGTTGGCATATGGTGTAAAATTATCTGTGAGACTTATTATTACTGTGGCCATAAATGTGTCGTGAACTTACTCCCTGTAGTCATCTCTTTCCAAGGGAACTGGTTGGCAAGAGCTAAGGCCAACATTTTGTTCTTTCAAACCCCTGTCTTAGGGAAGTCATATCCATAATCACATTGCTTCCTGCTTTTTAGAAGTCTGTCAGTCTGTTCTGGGTAGTTGTTTTCTGTTCCTCTTAACCTTTGTATCATGAGTGAGAAAATTTCCTTGATCTTTTTTGGGAGCCAAAATTTCGCTCCCAGAACTGACACAGCATTCAACGAAAAGGTGTGCTTCTTTGCAAAGTTGGATATTGAGGTTATTTAGAGATCCATTTTTTTCTTTTTTCATTGGGGACAACTGTTTTTACCCCTTAGAAGCTTCCAGAAGCAGGAAATATCCCAGATATTTTGGTCATTTTTGGGTATAGGGCAAGGATAGGGAAAGTTTTGCACTGAGGGTTGACCATATTCCATTTTCCCACAGAACATGCTCTCTAGAAGGTATGGGGACAATTTCACAATATTTTTGCCCCCTGGACCATTTTAAGTGAGTTCACTGGTGTTCCACCTCCCCATGATCTTTGAGGCCAATGTGGCTTCCTAGCAAGACTGTAACCTCCTGTAGTCTGTCTTTTCTACATTATCCAATTAGAGTGCTTTAGTTCTAGCACTTTCCACTGGATTGCAATAAGCATAAATTCCATATGTACTTATTGCTTAAGTGTAATTTCATTGATATTTGTGGCACAGTGACAAACTTGTGTTTTTCTTTTCTTTTTAATGACACTTCTGTTTTAAAGGCTTTTTAGTAGTGTAATCCAAATACTTTGATGCTAGATAATGTTTTGAGATTGTTATCATTGTTGTTGTATTTAAAAAGACTATTTGAAGAACATTAGTGAAACTTTCTTCTTGGCCATGTGGTTTCCTTATCTAGCCCTCCTGCCAATATGCACTTTTACAGTCTCTTTGGAAAGCAAAAAACCAAGCACAGACTCATTAAAGAGTGGCTGAAAATCAAACCTGCATGGAGTTTGAGTTGCTTCTGGGCCCTGCCTATCTCTGCGATCGCATCTCCTTCTATGAACCGGCATGAGCTCTAAGATCTTCTGGGGAGGCCCTCCTCTCGGTCCCACTACCGTCTCAAGTGTGGTTGGTGGGGATGAGAGAGAGGGCCTTTTCAGTGGTGGCYCCCCATCTCTGGAACGCCCTTCMAAGGGAAATAAGACAGGCCCCATCCCTCCCCTCCTTTTGTAAGAACTTGAAGACCTGGTGGTTTCAACAAGCCTTTGAAAATGACCAGTTCTAACTCAGCCCTACACATTGTSTAATATGGCCTTATTCTTCCTACCAGTTACCAGATTCTTTCCTCTAATCAGCCCCAGAATGAACAGCCACAGACCCGTACCTAATATTATTGTTGCCTGCTATAGCATTGCACTTAATTCCTGGGGCCCCTAGAATTTYTGGGCTTGCACAAATCTTGGCCCGACCTTTTAAAATTTTAATTGCCTTGAACAGGCAGGATTACTTTTAATATATGTGTGTTATGGCGACAATTTTTATGCTTCTATTTTGTTTGTTAATCTTATGGTTATGTTGTTTTTACTCTGTATATTTTGTGATGTTACTTGGGAACCGCTCTGAGTTCCCTCGGGGAGATAGAGTGGTATATAAATAAAGTTTTATTATTATTATTATTATTATTATTATTATTATTATTACAAACACTTCTTCTTCCCTCAMAAAAACAAACCCAAGAACAAAATTTAAGAAAGCAAAACTACAGCCTTTAAGCATTTCAGTGACCTCTGCAATTGTGTACCCCAGTCTATCATTTTCATTTTAAAAATTGTGCAGACTTTCTTCTTGTTTAGAAAGACTATTGGTGATGCACCTGGCTATGTATTGTTTAACATTTATCTAAAGATAATATATCATGTTTATTTCTTTTTCTCCAGAAGCTTGAGTAGCCTGGGATCAGAGTCAGCAATATAAAGAGAGCATCTAATGAACTAGGTCTTTCAGTTATCAGCCAGCCATGCCACACATGAACTATGTTTTGAAAAATGAGCCAGCCACTGACTTTCTTTCCTTTCCCTAAATTGGCTAAATGTTAATGTTTTTAGCAATCTCACCTCTTTGTTTATATAGCCATCTTTATTTATGTCATACAGATTAAATGTCCACCGTAGTTTTTCATGAACTGTTCCTCTCAACAGAATGGATAACGCTGTCACAAAATCCTGTTAGTAGAATACAAATGTATTTTAATTGAGAAAGAAAGCTTTCTCTGACCCTTCTTTCTACAGCAGATGGTTTTTAAAAATATACCTGATTGTAACATTCCCTTCTTTATAACAATACACAACCACAAGTATATCATTAATTATTTAATCAGGATTCTGGCTTTCAGGCGATATTTTCAAAGTTTGTGTATGCTAAACAGACAAGAAACTCAAGCACTTTATGACAAAATTCACAATTTTTGAACATGTATGTTAAATCCCACTAGGCATCACACAAAAAGTCTGAAGATTTGACACGTTTTGGATAATCTTATGTATTTTCTTTAGCTGTTGGAGATGGACTTATTTGCTACTACCGTAAATGAGATTTGCACATTTTAGAAGTGGGCAGAATTTATACTTCTTAAAAATATTCTACTCTGGTAAAAAAATGCATCCACCTGGATGTGAAAATTTACAGGAAAAGAAAAGTTATTATCCTGTTCATTGCATCATCCCTTTTCATTTCTATGGGCCTTGATTTGTGAAGGTATTCACGGGGATAAACCAAGAATGAGAAAGAAAGAAAGAAAGAAAGAAAGAAAGAAAGAAAGAAAGAAAGAAAGAAAGAAAGAGGAGGGAGGGAGGGAGGAAAAGCCAAGCAGGGGAGATCAGGCATAAATTTAGATGATACTGGAATGAACAGAGTTGATACTGATTCATCTACCTCAAACTTTACGGATCCATTCTGTGCTGTATCAAATGCATTAAAGAGATAATGGGCATACATGCTAGCATCTGAAAAACAAAACAAAGTGAAAGGAAACATTATTTTTTTAAAATTAAATACATATATTAATGGCTGAGCTGAATGTACTCTAGATACTAGGTATACTTTTTGGCTTAACCATTTTAATAGCCATTTGCCACAATTACTGACTACTTCCAGTGTCACTTTTTTTCTTATTCCCTTCTCACTGAACATAACTAGTTAGACAATTGTCTAGTCACAGTACCTGAAGAGAGGGCAATACTTCGCATGCATAGCAACAGCTGTACAAAAATAAATACCAACCATACCATTTTAAAGTATATGAATTACAAGCCTATTAGTTAAGTTTAGTCTTAAATAATCACCCTTCAATGTACAAAAGGAGAATCTTTCAGCATAAAGCAGTGATACAAACCTTTTAAAGATGGAGTGCCCAACTTGGGGGAGGGGGATTGGGTACTTGGGGGGGGGGGTGGCAAGCAGAAGCTGGGGAGTGGCAAATGGGGGAAGGTGGGCAGCAGGTAGGAGAGTGGTGAGCTGTGAGCAAACCAGGGAAACAGGCAGGAGAGCAGTGAGAGAGTAGTTAGCAAGGGGCAGGTGGTGGGTGAATGAGCAAGGGGCAGCAGACAAGTGGGCAAGCAGGGGGAGCAGCTGAACGGAGGTGTAGGTGATGGCTTGCATGCCAGGAGAGAGGGCACCGAGTGCCCCTTTTGGCATATGTGCCATAGGTTTGCTACCATAAAGGGTAGTCAGTTACCTTAAGTAATTGTCCAACATGTTAGAATGAAAGATGCTGAGAGACATTGCAGAAAAGTGACTACTTGCAGTATTTTAATCTCCTCTTTCTTTCAGTATTTATTGCACAGAAATCCTGTCCAGTTCTGTCTGAGCTATATGACTTCTAACATTAGAAACACAACTCAAAATGTTTCCTACTTACCACCATGTGGGAAAAACTGTGCATAGATCTGTTTGAATGTTTCTTCATTAACAGCTCCACTAGGACATTCCTGTTGGGAAAATAAAAAGAGGAATTGTTGTTTTCATTTGCAATACTATCTGTTCCCACATACCACAGCAGCATTATGGTTGCCTTCAAAAGGCTGTTTGGAATTGCAAGACTCTATAAATGCAATTATGTTGCCCTGGCACTGAAAAGCTCACGGGCCACATAAAATGACATGGTAGGCCAGATTTGGCCCACAAGACCTTGCATTTGCCATGTGTGGTCTAGGGTTATCCCATTTGTATCCAAAGGAGATATACCAGGGTAGGCCATTAAATCTCATTATCCTAAATTATGGTTTTGCTTTGCAGTTCTTTAGGTACCCTGATTACAGTGCTTTTCTGTGTATGTGTGTACTTTCAAGTCACTTGTCAACTTATAGTAAGCCCATGCATTTCATATGGTTTTCATGGGCAAAGAATCCTCAGAGGTGGTTTTGCCAGTTCCTTCTTCTGAAAGATAGTTTACAATATTTGTTGACAGTCTCCCATCCAAGTACTAAAAGAGGGCTGATTCTGCTTAGCTTCCAAGATCAGATGAGGTCTGTTGCCTTTAGGGTATTCACCTTCAGGTAAATGAATTCTGATGTAAGCATAAGACAGTTTTCAATCACATTTAACAGCATACTTGAATTGAGGTGTAGTGTATCTACCATAAACTTTAATATCCCAGTTTAATGAAGTACAGACTTGGGTGGAAAAGATGTGAGACCATCATTTATTTTTCTGCTTTAACAAGTTCAGGGCAGAAAATGTTTAGAGATAAGAGAATGAAAGAAATCAATGAGAATTAATGTAATTCCCCCATATGCCGATACCACCTACTAATAAATGGTAATCACTGAAGTTCAGAAGAGAGGGAGGCTTTTGAAAAAGCAGACAATCAACCAAGGAAACTAAATGGACCAGTACAACTAGAGATATGTCAGTATGCTATTGGAAGATGGGACTCCCAGGTCGGAAGATGGCCAAAATGCTACTGAGGAGAAGCAGAACATAAGTTCAACTAGCCCCAGATGTGATGCCGCAGCTAGCTCAAAGCCGAAAGGAATGCTAGCAGCCGACGGTGCTGGAGATGAACGATGAATCCGAAGCTCTAAAGATCAACACACCATAGGAACCTTGAATGTAAGATCTATGAGCCAGGGCAAACTGGACGTTGTTATTGGTGAGATGTCAAGACTAAAGGTAGACATTCTGGGGGTCAGAGAACTGAAATGGACCAGAATGGGCCACTTCACATCTGATGACCACCAGATCTACTACTGCAGACAAGAGGAACACTGAAAAAATGGAGTAGCCTTCATAATTAATAAGAAAGTACCTAAAGCAGTGCTTGGATACAATCCAAAAAATGACAGAATGATCTCAATTTGAGTGCAAGGAAAGCCTTTTAATATTACAGTAATCCAAATATATGCCCCAACCACAGCTGCTGAAGAAGCAGAAGTAGATCACTTCTATGAGGATATGCAGCACCAACTGGATAATACACCAAAAAGAGACCTTCTTTTCATTGATTTTTATACTTTTTATATATCTACATACGCAAAAATTTCTTGGGTGAAAAGGGGTTATGAATGGGAAAAGTTTAAGCTCTGATTTAAAGCATATATATTTTGTGTCAATACTTATAAATTAGCACAGACATATTATATGCAAGCCTTTTGTTCACAGATGATATATTTTCCTCTATTTCATAGAAATGTGTTCAATCAGCATCATATTGCCACTTGAGGTCTTATTGTATTGACTCATCGGCATGCTGTCAGTCTTTCTGGGCTGGTAAGACTGGCTTGCATAAAGTAAATAAACTTTGATGTTCTCCCTGCATTATTCCTCCCTGCATTATTCCTCCCTTTTGGATGCTTCACTGAGCTCTTAGTCAAGATTCTGAGCAAATTACTCTGAAACACCATAAAAGGCAATACAGTAATACATCATCTAGATGCAGCTTGGATATCTGGACTTCTTTCAGATTTGTCCACTTGTTCCAATTCATTTGCACCTAAATGATCACAGTTTAGTTTCCTAAGAGCTAAGAATGATCAAGAGACCTCATTAGTAGTAAAGAACAACTTTAGATACCGTAGCTGACTTGCAAAGCTTAATTCTTGAGGAACTAAGCAGGTATGCTCTTTAGTTTAATTTCTACTAGAGGCAGCGTAGCTCTGACAACTTTAAACTAGTCTGTGAAGAACTTTGATTAATATTCTGTTTAGTTAATGATGCACATTAATATGCATTACCATATATTTGTACACTAGAGACAAAAGGGGGGGGGGGCTCCATTACCCTTCTATCAATCCCTACTTTAAGACTTCATAAAACTGGGATATTAAAGTTTATGGTAGATACACTACACCTCCATTTTAACTTATGGGATTTGAAGCTTGAAAATATGTGATATGCAGATATGCACCTTTTTGTAGATCTATATGGGGCAAGTTTGAATGTGTTTCCTTTCTTGAAATGCATTCAGTAAACAATAGACTTGCGACCTCATCACACTGGGGTTTTTATGACCCCTTTTCTCTCCTCTGGATGGGGCTTGCTGAGCGCCATCAAATGACTCTGGCTTAGCCCCACCCCCGTTCTTCCAGAAATGGAGGGGAAGCATAGCAAGACGCTTCCTCTGCCACTACAGAGAGGATAGTGTGTTTTGGTAGCTCCAATGGAGCTACTCTACTTCTTTGCTCTTTCACCCATTGGATGGGGACAGGAACAGGATGCCAACATGCCATGCCCCGTCTCCCCCATATAATGGGGGAAGGAGGAAGGACATGCTGGTGAAATTGCATGACCGTATGAAGAGGTCCACAGAAAGCCAGTTTAGATGAGAAATCTGAAAGTGCTAAAGTGCAGATGATACGCAAAACCAGGAGTGGGATTCTTCTATATGTACTACAACCCCTTCCCCCCAGTTCCTCACCATTGGCTACATGCCAAAGCTACCCAGACACAGTCCAAAAATAATACAGAGACTTGTATGATCCTTGACCCTGCAATTGATGAAAGTGTTATAACTATGCAGGGGAATGCAGTAACATTCCCACAGTAGCCTTAGCTTCAGCACACAGAGAACAAAAGCTCAAAAATAATTTTAGAGTGATGAGCATGTGTTGCTAGCAGAAGGAAAGCAGCAAACCACAGGAAGGGGTTATTGTTGACTTGCTGCCTGATTCATTCATTAATGTCACAAAGAGCTTGCCACAGAAGAACCAGAACACCTCTGTTTAATTTGAAGATAATTCATCCCAACTCTAATGGCATGATTTGAAACAATTTTATTCTATGAGGAAACTTGTCAACATGCTTCTGGGAATTTGAAAGCTAATGTATTTGACACCCCAGGTGTCAAATACATTAAAAACACTATCTGTACTAAGGCAGAAAAGCGATTAGATAGCCATGCATTCATTTAGCAGCATGCAAATCTATTGGCCTATTGGCTTGAAAAATATCCTGCCCCCACAAAGGTAAGCCTTGATGTTTTCATTTTATATAAATGATATTCTACTATGCCACTGTATTTAGTGGGACTTTAGCATCCATAGACTTCAGTATCCATGGGGGTGGGGTGGAGGTGTCCTGGAACAAAACCCAGCAGATACAAAGGGTCTAAATAACTTTTAGAAAGAGTAAGGAATATGCTAGGACACTGGCAGCCTATTTGAAATGACCTTAACAAGAACGAAAGATTTCCATTTTCTGAAGCATGGGAACAAATACCTAGTTCCTTGCCCTTGCAATGCATTCCTCCACTACCTTCTCTATAAATTCCCTTGCTTTATGGAGGGTGCCATAGACTGAAATGCCCCCCTTATGCTAGCAGCAGTCCCTGAATCTATATGTAAAGAATATATTTTAAACAATTAATTTTAAATTAGTTTTGAATTGGATTAATTACAACAGCGTACAAAGAAATCAAGGAATATGCTATCAAAGATATTAAAAATAATAAAAATATTGCGGCCATTTCAAACTCCAAATAGTTGTGAGCTATCCATTTGAAATAAAGAAAATGGAAAACAGTTCACATTTTATAGTAGTTTGTACTCTGCTACAAACTACCTCAGTCTGCTTTACTTTTCAAGTGCATTATAATGGTGTAAAAGTAGGTACTTTTTAAGGTAAGTCTTATAGTTCTTTGATTCTGAAACAAGAATTATTCTTCCTGTTCAGAAGTGAATCTGTGCATATTCAGTACTCATGTACAAAATAGTGTCCTCTAAATTGGCAGTCACTTCATTAGAAATCACTTCATTGTACTAATTCATATTCTTACATTTTTGAAACCTCTGTAAAGCACTTGAAGTTCCTTCTTTGTAAAATTGGTTTGTGCCTCAAGTTGTTCCAGTCCTTCAGGCCGATAACATACTGTGGTCATTTCCAATTCATCTTCAATTTTATCTAGAAAACGAAAGAAAGGATTTTATTTGAGGCACCATTCTTTGCATATGAAAATGATGGGAAGAGTTGAAGATGATACTGATTCATTTTGGAAATGTTAATTAATGTAAACAATAAAATATATTTCCCTATCCACCCAGTCCCATTACACATACAATCAAAAACTAAGAAAGAGAAGTCTACCTTACATTTTTCTTTAGAGTTCATAACATGTTTTTGAACTTATAAGATAAATACTTTTTAAAGATATTACTATCCAACAAATTGAAGACATTTTGAAGATCTTGACCTTTCCTAAATTCACACACACTGACTTGAAAATATTTCCCAGCAGGTGGTAATATTTTAGAGCAGAGTGTAGGTAACATGAATTAGACATGCTTAAACATAGACAAAAAGCTGTGATCCCAAGCACACCTAATGGCAATATGTATCATTGAAATTGATATTAGGTTTAGGACAACATCTACTGAGCAGGAGTGGATCATTTCTTTTGTTACATGACAAAAGAATTTGCAGGGGTGGCTTTATTAAATGTCTGGCAGCAACTCACAGTGCAAAGTAGTAAATATCTTTTTGACAAACCAAGACATAAAAAGGAAGTATTGTGGTGAGAAAGTGTACACAGCTCAAAAGATATTTTCACAAACATGGCAGTTACATAAGAACATGCGGAATACTATTATACCTTAGCATCCATTGTTTCCTGTAATGTTCAGTGATACTAGGAAGCTGCACAGAATTTTATCCGTGGATAAATTGTAAACACCATATGATACTGACCTGGGAATAATTTTCACAGTATTTAGATACCTTAAATATTTGTTGGTAGTCCTAAATGGTGATTCTGTACTCTGCAGTAGGTACTGTTGGTTCAGTATTAAGTTTCCTTTATCTTTTTGTGGACATGTATAATTCAATATTTTTTAAGGTGAAGAGTGTACAAGGACTCCTGGTCCTTGGTGTATATATTACTTAGGTGAAAGAATAACCACACAGGAGACATGTAGATCAGCTGGACCAGCTCTACTGTTACTTAGAGGCCCTGTGTCCAGTTCGCCCACATCCCTGCCAATTGCCTTCTATAACCTGGCAAGAGCATACACCCCACAAAGAGACCAACCTACAGTCCAGGAAACCTGAGTGAGAAGAGATGAGGGGCGCCAGTCTGAGTTCATCAAACTCCTGGATTAATCCCGTGTCTGATTGAATCAAAATGTTATTGAGTTTTGGAATGTGATCCACATTGATTACTCACTAATAGCAGATAAATGATCAATCTGATGAATCCATAGCCTTTATTCAGTAACATCCAAGATGGAGGTTATCTTGAAAAGTTATTTAGGTTGCCACGTAGACATTCCAGGAAATGTAGATATCAGCTCATTATATAGCAAGGCGGTAGGTTTTGTGCCCATTATACCAACTCAATACAAAGAATATGTCTGCCTGCTACACAAATAAATTACCTGTTATGTAGCTTTCAAATCAGGTAGATAAAGACTCCCGGAGGATCTTCTTCCTGTTGCTAGTAGGGTTGGGCAAAGCTTTGAAGGTCTGTTTCATAATTTGGAGATTTATATGATTTGTTAATACAAATCTCTGAATTACTAATCAGAACAGGACTGCTCCAAAGCATTATGGAATGAAACGGAAGTCTCCAAAATGTTTTTGGAGATATTACGAAAGATTTGTTGTTTTGGAGTGTTTCAAACTGTAGCTTTTTAAAATTTTTAATAGATTTTTTTAATTCTTAAAAATCAGTAGATGAACCTTTCTGAAACTGCAGGATTATGTTGTCTAATTTTTCAGAAATTCAAGAGGATACTTTTTTTTAAAAAAAATGTATTTTTTTAAATTCTTAAAAATCAGTGGATGACCAAAATGTTCTGAAACCTGGCAGGCCTAAAGTCGTAAATGTTGCCTACAAATGTGTCACATTTCATCTTGATAGCCATATAAATGACAGATAAACAAGGTTCAAAAATGTCCCCATTGCTGCTAATGGAACCAATCTTAACAAAACAGTTATGAAGCTTCAGAGATTCAGATTGCAAAACAAAACAGAACCCCTCTGATCTTTACAAAACAAAACTGAATCTCCAAAACTAATTACTAATTGGATTACAGCTGCTTTGCATGTCTGTAGTTACTAGTCATGATCACAAATGTGGGGTAGATTTGTACCATGGAGCCTGTAAACAGCAAGGGAAGATACTAGGGGGGATACTGAGCAATAGATGGCACCAGGAACATACATTTTCCAAATATGGACAAAAATTAAATGTTCGGGAAAACTGAGAAGGAAGAGTAGTGCCAACTGAGTTGTAACTATTATGCCAGCGATAACTTTTTCCATGACTTAGGGCAGCAAGATGGAGAGATTATAATCCTTTTTCACTATGTGGATTGGACAGAAAGACTTGACATAATTCTCTCAGCATCATACACATGTGTAATTAATATATTAATGCATGTGGCAATTTTGCCATATAAATTCAATATAGGCTATCAGCCAATATATGTATAATGTGCAGTAGCAGCTAGAATTCAAGGTTTTGTTTCTTCCATTTCAAATGTGTTTGGATACTAGTGGCAAATTGCCTCTAGAAGCTGGATCAAATTGGCATATTGGCTGGCAGAGGTCAAGAGGATGATAAAACTATAAAAGCCACTTCCTTCTCCTATAGTACTACTTACCTGCCATCTGCAGCCTGTGCTGTTTGCTATCTCAGGACTTAGAAAAGCTGTTTTGGATTTTCAAGTCCCAGAACCTTGCAGTCAGCATTTTGGGAAATTTGAAAATTATAGTACAAAAATACTTTCCAAATAACTTTGCTAGCTGCTAGCTTACATCTACATCTCGTCTGGAAATACTGTTTCACTTCAATGTGCAGCTATGGCAGTGGTATATAATGATTACGGTGACTTCAGTAAATATATTGTCTAATTAACTGTGCAGACATAGGAATCAGCTGTTTATTCATTTTATCGCATATCCATACCATCTGTACATCATCACCTAAACTATCAAAGCTTTTGTTTCTGCATAATTGCACTTACATATTTTATAAGTATGTAGTTCAGACATTTCATAAACTCAAGTACATCTCATTTAACATTGCCTTCAGTTCCCTCCTGAGAGAGTTGTTAAAGCCTTTCTTGTTTTCTTTAGAGGATTTAATTTCTACTAACATGGTGTTCTTTCCTTCACTTTATTCATTTTTTCATCCCAATCCATTCTTAATTGATGCTATGTGATTTTATTTGGTTTCTTCTCATTTCTCCAATGTATTATCTTCTGTAGCGTAGGTACTCAGGTCTTCAGTCACTAAAGTATCACTGGACAACTGACGAGGAACAAGTTGGCTATTAGGGTATTTTGTATTTCTTACTAGGTTTTTTATTCACCTGTTACCTATCTGATGTTGAACGCTTGAATTGGGGATTTATCTTGTCCACTGTTTTCCTTACTTCCCAGAAGACTTCTCAATGAAATGGTGTAGTGCTGTATTGAGGTTCTCCAAGCTAATGGTCATAGAGGGCTTTCCAAACTATACAGTCTTGCTGTTAAACCAGGACTTAATAATTACTTTACCAATATATTTCTGTGTTTTCATTTACTAGATATCATGCTTTAACTTGGCATTTACTATCGTACAGTTCTGGAAATAGTGGAGATAAAAAAGTCCTTGGTTTTGGACAGACTATCACTTGATGGTATCTCAGCATTTTGAAAGTCAAGTATAGGTGGAGGCCAATTGTCATCCTTAGTAGCTTGTGGTTTCCATATTGATTTTTCAGATGGTTTTCCAATTGATTTTACAGTTGCTGGTCTCTAAAAAAACAAAGGCTGGTGACTTTGGTAGTTGATATACTAGTTCCAAGATTATTTCTATTGACAAGATCCCATGCTTCACCATAATATACTGGGCAGCTCCAGGCACTAATTAAAAATGATAATATAGGTGATTTAAACCTTAAGAATACACAATTTGAATGTGGGTTAGTGTTCATATTAGAAGTCTACTTCATGAGGATGATAGTGCTGATGTATCTTTTTCACTTTTCTTTCATCAAGGTTATTACTATGCTTTCATTTTTGTGAAATTCAACTTGGCTCAGCACAGGCAACCTTATTATGTTTAAGATTGACTATGTATGAACAGAAAGATGATCAGTATAGCAGAACAGAGTTTGAAGAGGCCTCAATGGCCAACCAGTCCAACAGTCCTTACAGGAAAAGGCAATCAAAACATTTCTGATAGATCAATCTAGTTTGGAGGTTAAATATATCCCACTAAAGCTTTAGATAGAAAATACTTAGTGGAAAGAACTAAGCATAACATCATTTGCAAGTTTTAAAAAAGTCTTTAAAGTCTATAAGATATCTTCATTGAAACCTTCTTTTCTCAATGAAACAATTATGGCTGCAATCCTGTATCAACTACTAAGTTAAGTATACTTAACTACTTAAGTAAACTGCAAGATTTTAAAACTAATTTTCAGAACCATTAAGCAAGTAACTCTGGTAAAGCCTAAACAAACAGTTTTAAAATCTTGCAGTTTCCCTTCCCTGGTGAGTGGCAATGGAAAGAGGGACGAAGTGGGTGTGGCTAAGCGCAGCTCTTCTTGAAGGCCACGCCCCCAGTGGTAGAGATTGCAAAAGGTCCTGCTGTTAAACTACAGGACCTTTTGCAATCTCTACCACTAGGGGTGTGGCCTTCAAGAAGAGCTGTGCTTGACCACACCCACCTCGTCCCTCTTTGCATTGCCAGCACTCACCAGGAAGGAAAACCATGAGATTTTAAAACCGTTTGTTTAGGCTTTGCCAAAGTTGCTTAATGGTTCTGAAAATCAAAATAACTGTGGGAGACATCCGAAAATAATTCCAAAAAATGGGTAAGTGGTTCAAATTTGGAATTGCTCCTCTGTTGTGGTTCAGCAACAGCATGATGGGACTGATGGGACTGAGAGTGCAAGTGGGCATGATGGGAATG